TTAGCCCCTCAGTTAAAACAAGTGGATGTTCAGCAACAGTCTGATTGTAAGTGTCACTGCACTTTCATGCTTCAGGAAGAACACACTGTCGCAAAACACGATGACTTCTTGGAATCAATCAAAAATCACAATAATTAATGTCAATCTCTTTGATTTATAAGATAGTCATAATTGTAGCCTCTTTCCTTTCCTCCTTCTTCCTTTATTTTCTTCCTTCCTGGCTTGGGTGTGTGTTTATGTTGAACAATCACCTCCAGTGAGTCAAACTTCCAGTTCCAGATGTGGTTTGATTTGTATTGACTATTTAATATCTTTTAATACAGCAAATAAAGCATGGAATACACCCTCTTCGGATTGAATCCATTTTCAATTTGTATAAGTGGAGCCTTTCTGAAGGCTAGAAATGTCTGACAATAAAACGTCTGGTTTGTGTCAGCCATTCTCTCCTTATCTTTGCTTCTTTTTCTCATCCTTTGATGCGCAATTCCTTCCTTCAATTATTTCACCGAATCGCGGAATCATAATAGGACAGAAGGAGGCCATTCGGCCCATCATACCTGCAGCAGTTCTATTACCTCATGCCAATCACTTGCCTTTCTCCCATATTCCTGCTCAATCCAAATAAAAAAATCAAAGCCATCTTGAAAGCTTTTATTGAACCTGCCTCCACCACGTTTCCAAGCGGAGCATTCCAAATAAAACTCCCACATCACTCTTGCTTCATGTGCGCATCACTTTAAATATGTGTCCTCTTGTTCCCTCTCTTTTCTTTCATGAGCTTTTGCAGGACAGATTTGTGTTATAAGGAGAAGTGAAGTGAATTCTTTTATCTTTCCCCTCTCCTATCAACCAGCAGAGGTGTTTTAAATTTTTCTCATTTTGTTTTCCTTTTTGAAATAGGCTGTAGAATGCACTGCACTCTGAACCCTCTGTTTGTGTAGTTCATTCTTTAAATGATCTCCCACAAACCCTCTCTAGGGTTTAAAATGGAAGTATGGTTTATTCCTGCATTCAAAAAGGTGATTGTTCAACACAAACACACACCCAAGCAAGGAAGGAAGGAAGGAAATAAAGGAAGAAGAAGGAAAGGAATGAGGCTATAATTACCAATAACTTATAAGTCAAAGAGATTGACGTTGATTATTGTGATTTTTGACTGATTCCAGGAAGACAGCATCCAGTGAAAGATACTTTCTGTTGGCATGTAGTTCATGTGGGTGCCGTTGACCCAAATGCAGAATTCCTTTTGATGTTGATGAAGGCACAGTGAGGTAAAGTTGGTATCCAGCAGATACAAGATTTTTTTCTTCCTGAACGATGTTTTTGAAGAGATTTAGACGAGATGTAGGCTTACCTAAGCCTGTAGTCTTGCTTTGTTATCACCAGTTAGATTCTTAGCAGACTTACTCAATTTTAAGAGCAGACTGCTTCTTCCCAGACTGAAGCAACAACGTTCAGATTCTAGAGGTAACGTCTTGAGAAACCGTAGGAGCTTTGCCCATGTGACACACCTGTTAAGGAGTGAGTTTCAATTCAACAATTGGTTTCTATTTCTCTGGCTAGTACTATTGTTCATTTGTATGAGACCAATGGTGAAACATTAATGTCACATCAGGCATAATGATTTTCAATCTGTCACATACACACACACACACACACACACACACACACACTCATACACACACACACTCATACACCCACACAGACACCCACACACATACACACACTCATACACACACACACACAGACACACACACACATGACAAACACACACACACACACTCATACACCCACACAGACACACACTCATACATACACACACACAGACACATACACACACACTCATACACACACACATACACACACATACACTCACTCATACACACACATACACTCATACACACACAGACACATATACACGCACTCATACACATACATACACTCACTTATACACACACACACACACACAATTGCAAGACATAGACAATGCAAAGGTATAATATTGAAAGAGGATGATATCTGAGTTCTATCCTTGTAACTACTGATTGGAATCCTTCTTGAGATTATGGCCAGTTTGCATCCTGCAAGTTGCAATGACCATTTTTTAGACCAGAAAAATTCATTTTAAGAATAAAGTATTACTTTTTAAACAAATTATGATCATTCTTTACGTCTCATGGATATAGCACTTGGGTACAGAGGAATGAGATAGTTTAGGGCCAATATTCTGACAGACTGTTTGAAACGAGCAACAGTACAATCCTGCCATAACATTGGGGAAAATATTTCGACCTGCAACGGTGTCTGCATTTAATCAGTTTTTGCAACTTGTTGAAAAAGTTTTTTCCAACAGGTTTTAGGGGTATGAGACATCACTTCCACTGAAGCAATTATCAAAGGGGACTGTTCCACAAGCAATTCCTCATTCCTGTGAACCCATTCCGAAGATTGAGAGGATTCCAAATGCCCACAATGACTCTAAAACCTGCCTAGAATTTTATGATAAACTCCTGGATTCAGATTTTGATGCATTATATTCATTCAGAACTTCGTGAAATACTTCCTTTCTTCCTACTTATTTATCCTCTTCAGAAAAAAGAGCTTGCGTGTTTCGTGGATCTAAGACATTCCAAGAATGTTAATGAAACATTATTGAAATATAGTCATTGTTGTAATGTAGGTAGTCGAAGAAACCAAATGGTGGACAACAAATTCCTCAATCAGTAATGAGACTTCTCTTTTAGTGGTGAGATTGTTTGGGGGAACAAGAAGTTGGCCAGGATACCTCTCCAGCTGTTTTGCAAAGAAATAGTGAAAATCTTTCAATCCTTCAGTGAGGACAGATGGACCTTAGTTTGCTGTGCTATCTGAAAGACAAAGCTTAGACAGTAAAGCAGTCACAGTTTATCAAGTGTTCTAGTCTCCGAAGTAAGACTTAGAAGCAATACCATGTCTCACCAAGCCAAAGCTCACACTAATAGTTAGGGTAATAAATGTATAGAAATGATCCATTTGGATTGCTACTTTAAAATAAACAGTGGAAGTAGGACAAGAGCACACGGGATTCAAACTAGTAAAGATATGACAAGGATGATAAACCAGGTTTCGCTTCAGGTAAAGACTGATCAGCACTTGGAATGAACTTCCAGATAAAGTGGTGCGGGGAAGGTGCCTGGGATCATTTAATGAACAAACAGAGGCAGCAATGGGGGAGCATTGGGCTATGTTGAATTAAGATGGATGGAATGGCCTTCCTCATCTTTAAGCATCTTTTGGTTTCTGAAAAAAGAGACAATCAGGTGTGGTTTACTGGGAGAGGTTTGAAAGGTACAGTGCAAAGGTCAAGTGAGCATCTCAAAACCAAGGGGGCTGGTGGAAAATCATAACATCTTATTCATAATAATTCTTAGATGTAACTTGCCCATTAAATGAAATGTCATGGAACATTAGGAATCATGACAATGGGATTTTTATCCCACTGGTATTCCTGTAGGAGGATATTATACTCCTCAGTTAGATCCATGAAGAATTTTATTTCCCAAGTGCTTAACTTCTGGATTTTCTTCCCTTGCCCATTCTGTGTGGGATTCTCCTCCAGTGCTAACACCAGGCAGGTTATCCTATTGGCTGCTCATGTGCTCATGGCAGGGGTTTGACTGTTTAGTCCCATGTTGTTGATTTTATCCTTTGGAGTGCCCTAATGTGCATATATAATTATGACCCTTCTAAGGAGCAGGTAAATGCTACAAACCAACCAGTGCATTGTGGGGGAAATCGCCAACTTCATCTCTGCATGCATTCTGGAGCTGTCTGCAGTTCCACACTGAAACTCCCTTCTGACTGTTGGTTATATTGCTCGTCATGTCTGAAACAAAATCCTGACATTCGTTAGCAAATTGCTCTGTGCATTTACCACAGATCAAAGGCCGTGTTTATCGTGGTATTTGTACTGCTGAAAGATAACCTATTTTTTCAGTCATCAATCTAATATTACACAGAAGTTAACAAATAGGCAGTCAGATATCAGTGTACTGCTACTGACAGGAGAGTTCCAATAGCCTGAGGGACAGTGTCAACACAGAGAACAGAGAGGTTGGAGTATTTCTACTTTATTTGTGCTTTTCTATTGAGAATGGTCAAAAAACTGAGAGGGATGAAGAAGGAATATGTTATAGAAAAACAAAATGGAAGAGGAGGCTCTTCTGAATTTTGTGATGAGGCAGATTAGGTGGGAGGAGAGGGTACATGGAACTTTACTCTATATGTGACTTATGTTGTACCTGAGGTGAGAGAGCTTGGCTGGACAGTTTTGGGAAGCTTTACCTTCTATCTCATTCTTGCTACTCTGACAGCACCTTCCAAACCCGTGACCTTTACCACCACCAACGTCAAGGGCAGTAGATATGTGGGAAAACCATCGGCAACTCATATGCCATTCCGACATGGAACTCTGAAATTGTTCCTTCATTATCACTGGTTTAAAGTCCTAGAGCTCCCTTCCTAAAAGCACAGCGGATGTGCTTACACCCAAGGACTGGAGCCATTCAAGAAGGTAGCTCACCACAACCTTCTCCACGGTAAGTAGAGATGGGTTAAAAAAAACACTGGCCCGGATCAGTGAGGCCCACATCCTATGAATGAATTAAAAAGACTGGAAATGCTTAAACCAGGAATACTTTTACGGGATTAGGTGCCTGAACTGGAACTGCATACTTTTCATTGCTTGATACTTCAGAGTTTGAAGAACCTAAGGTTCAAAATAGTGAATCAATTATATGTTTGGGCCATGGGAGAAAGACGCGACGGGAATTCTCCTCATACAATTTCAATGCTCGAAGAGTAATCCAGCCCCACATTTTGGATTAGCCTCTCTGTGGGATGATCTTGTCTAACTCCATATTTTTTAAAAACAAAAACAGATGTTCAGGACAGTCATATTTCAGTTGATCTGAAATGGGACTTTGAACCTACCCACTGATTGTCCACTCTTTGCTTCACAGGGCTCGTGGTCCAGATGCGATGATTCTGGTGGATGGGCAACCACGGTTGAAAGGGGAAATGAGTATCTCTCAGATGTTAAACATCGCCACACAGATTGCATCTGGTATGGTGTACCTGGCCTCACAACACTTTGTTCACAGGGATCTGGCCACTCGCAACTGTCTGGTTGGAGGAAATGTGCAGGTTAAAATTGGAGATTTTGGAATGTCGAGAGATGTCTACAGTACAGATTATTACAGGGTATGTTCCTCATTGACAATGGATTAATTCAGTAGAGCTAGTACCTGTAAGAATTAAAGACGAGTGCAGCATTCATTGTTATTCCATAGGTTATTTCTATATTTTACAGGATTGACCACCACAGCTTTGACTTCCCATTGCACCACAACCTCCAGATTTCCTCTCCTTATTCAGCACAAATATCACTATAGTTGGAGGTTCCTCATTAAGTGTGAGTTATTATAAACAACACCATCCGGTTTATCTTCCATTGTCACTGATGCTCTGAATGAAGAGTGCCCCAGCTCCTGTTGACTTCATTCCCACTAAAACACAACCAACATTCCTGAACTGACACTGAAGACGCTGAATCTAAAGGAACAACTGCTTCAAGTGGTTGTCAATTTGAGCGCTTTTTATTTAGTTTCGTGTTAAAATTGATGCGTCAACTGTTGCTGCCCAGTCTCACTTAGCAGTCTTAACAGGAACCAAGATAACTATGAATGATATATCAATAGGGTATCACTTGACAACTGTCTCCCTAAAATTAAATGATAGCTCATGATTGAAGCTCATGAGTATTAGTTTCACAGATGCATGAAAGATGTATTCATTGAAACAAATCAACTGTAGTGAATCCTAGGGTTCGCCTTGTGCTTGTTGCTGTAAAATCAATTAGAGGGTATTTGATACTAACTGGGACCAAGTATATTTCACAATTGTAAATTACCACGGGAAGATTTAATTATTCCAGGATTTATTAGACACTGCAGCCCACGGTCTCACAAAACAAAGACCGGTTGCTACAGTCACGGGCCAAATTGAACAGAAATGAATCGTGTTTGAATCTTCTGGGTCCCTTGGGTTCCCAAGTGTTCATTTCTTCAGAGTTTTATCTTGTTTATTCTTTAAATAATTTTAAACTCTGTGATATATTTTAAGAACTCCGCAGTGTGAAGTCAGGAAGGAATTGACACTTTGAGAACGAGGTGATGCATGTTCGTTCACACCAGCTACTAACAGCCTTTTTTCATTCTGTTGTGGGATGTGGGCATTGCTGGCCAGACCAGCATTTATTGCTTGTTCCTAAGTTGCCCCTTGAGAAGGTGTTAGTGAGCTGCCTTCTTGAACCGCCGCAGTCCACATGTTGTAGGTTTCCCCACAATGCTGTCAGGGAGGGAATTCCAGGATTTTAACCTAATGATAGTGAAACAACGGAGATATATTTCCAAGTCAGGATGTTGAGTGACTTGGAGAGGATCTTTCAGATGGTGGTGTCCCTATGTATGTGTTATCCTTGTCTTTCTAGATGGTAATGGTTGTGGGTTTGGAATCTGCTGTCTAAGGATCTTTGGTGAATTTCTGCAGTGCCTCTTGTAGATAGTGCACACTGCTGCTACTGACCGTTGGTGGTGGAGGGAGTGGATTGCTTAATTCAGTGCCCACTAAGACCTTGGATATTCGTACAACATTGTACTGTACAACATTGGTGTACAGTAAGGATAAAGTCACCATAGTCTCAGAGGACCATGGGGCTACTTTCTTACGAGAGAGAGACACATGGTAAGGGTTTAACCTGAGGATGAGCATGTCTCAGGCAAAGTGGAGAAGGTAGGACCTTCATGGAACCTGAACTGTACAACACCACCCAAAATCTTTTTGTAGTCCTCCTGAAACTGATGGTCCAGTGACATGAGGATAAAATTATTGTGAATACCATTGTCCAGCACTTTTTCATAATGTATCTTCATGCAATCTTTTTCTCTCCCCTTTGGCAAATACTGGGGAAGTGATATAAATACTAATAGGCTGATTAACAAGTCCTGATTGGGATTTGAACCCAGGGCTTCTGGCCCAAAAGTAGGGACACTACCACTGTATCACAACGCTAAAGAAGTCTAATACACATCGATTTTATGTGGGCAGTGCACTTTCCCCTTGTGACCCAGAATTCAGCCCAAGTCTACACAAAAGGAAATCAAACTATGTTCCCAACAGGGTGCTGATCTATCACATAAAACATCCCTTTATTGGATAGTAATTTGTACGTTCCCTTAGGGAGGCCTAAGGATATAAGAGAAAGTGGGACCATGTTGAGGGAGGAGGGGACCTTGTTATTGAGGGCCAGCACCACCGTCGGGACATAATATTTTTCTCAATCTTGCCAATGTCTAATTTATATTTTATTAAACATCGGCCAGTAATCCTTCCTGCCATGCTGATTGAGAGGGTTGTAAGACCCTCAGTCTGAAGAGATTAGTGAAAGACTCAGACGAGTTCAGAGATTGCTGTACTGTCGATTACCAATTCAGAGACACAAATCCCATCAATATCACTTACTGTTCCCATGATGAAGCTGTTAGTCTGCTTCACATGTGACTGATGTAAATGCTTCAGGCATTGAGAATAAGAGAAAGGAGACTGCTCTTCACTAAATTGTGTACATTCGGATTTGTGAAGCATCACTTAGGGTTACTGCAACACTCGGACCTCTCTTCTATTCCGACTGATAGTAACCTTGATTAAACGATCACATGCAACCTAATTTTCTCAAATTTAACAATGTTTTTCTGTAATCAGTTGTGTTTGCACATCCTGCGAACTGATTAATGACATTGATATCAGAAGCAAAAGAATTACTTGCAAATTACCACCTGTCACTTGGTCAACAATTGCAGCTGGGTTTCTTTTCCATGTGAATGGTAGTCCTCACATCAAATCTGTTTCCATCTCCCTCCACTACCCAATAAGCTCATTAGTTTCTCACGTGTTGCTGTGATTTGTGCTTGACTAACTAACTCCAGTAGTAAATTCTACAGCCTCATACACAGTGGAGATGTGCAAGGTACGTTTTTTTTAACATACAGGGTGGCAGGTGTCTAGAACGTGCTGCGAATAGAGGTGGTCGAAGCAGATAACAATAGCAAAATTTAAGAGGCATTTAGACAGACATATGAACAGGCAGGGAACAGAGGGATATGGATCACATGCAGGGAGATTCCCTCCCCAAAAGCATTGTGGGTCAACCGATAGCACATGGACTGTAGCACTTCAAGAAGGCCATTCACCACCACCTTCTCTAGTGACAGGCAATATATGTTGGCCATCGATGCCCATGTCCCACAAGTGAATAGAGGGAAAAAAATGGGATTAGTTTAGAATGGCATCATGGTGGGCCAAAGTACCTGTTCGTGGGCTGTTACGTTAGGTAAAATCTTACATTTATGTCTTTGTCCTGTCAATTACTTGAAACTGTCTCTTCCTATTGATATTTTTCTGTATGCCTTCAGAAGTTTAAGCAAATGTTCCAAAGAGTTTCTATTTTCTCCTTTTTTTGAATCCCAGAACATGCTGTTGCCTCCAAACTGTCTTGTCATTTTCTTGTAAAATTCCTTCCCTGTCCAGCATCTACCAACATGATTTCCAAGCTGCTCATTGCATAGAATCTGCCTTGACCTAACCATGGGTTACATGCTGAGCAATTATGGTGCTTTGTCAGGCTGTGGGATAAACAGAAATGTGTTCACCCAGGGCTGTGGCCATTAGAATTTGGAAGAATGAGAAGGGATGTGATTGAAACGTATAAAACTCTAACACAGCTGGGCAGACTACATGTAGGGAGGATGTTTTCTCTGGACTGGGGAGTCCAGAACCAGGGTCACAGTCTAAGGATAAGGGGTGGGTCACTTAGGGCTGAGATGAGGAAACATTTTTTCACTCAGAGGGTAGTTAACCTTTGGAATTCACTGCCACAGAAGGAGATTGAGTCACAGCATATAAGGAAGAAAGAGATTGATAAATTTTTAGATATTGTTGCCAGTCAAACCAAACCCCTCAAAACATGTCAAGGAGATAGCCCCAGCCCTAACTTTTACCTTATTGAAAGGCAAGTATGAAGTGCTGTGTTCCAGATGTGATTTGATTGGTCAGACTATTAGGCTTTAAGCAAATGCACTTCATTTTTACACCACAATTAAAATACAAACAGAAAAAGAATTGGCATAACTTTATCAAAATACTTTACAAAATAATATAATATTTAAGTACTACTCCTCAACTGTACTAATATAGAAGCAACATCCCATAAACACACCCCTAGCAAAGGCAAATTCAGCAAAACGGATTTCTTGAACTTGCAATCTCCTCCAGTCCAGGAGAAGGAACCCCGACAAATGAATCAAGCAGCAGAGAGGGAACTCGAGCTTTTGCAGCAGTGGAGATAGAGCTGTATCTAGCAGCTTCAACTCCAAAACCCTTACTTCAACAACTGAAAGTAAAACTAAAACATTGGATCTGTCTGTGCCTGGCTCCACCCACTCAAGCTTCTTTTCTTAAAAAAAAGTGCTATTTACTCTACTTTCCATGGAATAGACACCTCGGCATCATGTTTACAACCTCTTCAAGAGAAACAGGACAGAACAAATCCCTCTTAAAGGCACAACTTGTCATAATATTAAAGGCATCAAAGGATATAGAGAGAAAGCAGGACTGTGACACTAAGACAAAGGATCGGCCATGATTATATTGAATGGTGGAGCAGGTTTGTTGGGCTGAATGGGCTCCTCTTGCTCCTAGTTTCTGTGTTTCTCTGTTACATTCTCTGTGATGCTTGATTTCAGTAACTTTACGATGCACCAATGTCTGAGCTACACAGCTCCAGGACATTCCCAGAGAAGGTGGCACTGGACTAACACTCTGGTGGCGTGACTGCAAATTCCAACCAAGACAACCAGTAGAATTTACATTTAATTAATAAATCTGAAACATAAAGATAGTCTAACTAATGGTAACCATGTTCATTTTCAGTAACTGTTGCAAAACAAATGGAAATTAAATTTGCTGGAGAAACTCAGCAGGTTTAGCAGCATCTGTGGAGAGAGAAACAGAGGTAACGTTTCGAGGTCCAGTGATCCCGTTTCAGAACTATTCGTATCTAGGAAAAAGTAGTATATACGCCGAAGGCAGGGGGTGGATCGGGGTTGTGAAGAGGTAAGCAAAAAGGTGGAGATAAAGCCCAGGAAGAAAGGCAGTTAGGTAAACAAAGGGATAGATAATGGTAAGCCAGAGAGAAAGAAAAGCTGATAATGTTGACCATAAGTAGCTGGAAACGTTGGCCTGTTGACTCCCAAAGCTGTTCATGGTGCATCTTTTCATCTGTGTTCACGTACAGAATTGGTGTCTCATGCACATCCCTAGCCAGACACTAGAAGATGTTGTTTTAAGACAGTCACTTGTCAGTTGGATTCATTCGTTACTGGGCCAAAGGAGTTGTTCATTTTCTGAACACAAGGGTGATCTTCACAAACAATGCATTACAGGCAACAGACTTCAAAATCCAGTGAGTGTTGGGGTGTGTGAATTGGAAAAAAAAGTTATTATTAATATGAGTGAGGGGCGGTGCAAGCTGACTGTAACCACACAGTAGTTACCATGAGTAACAGGTGACAACCTACATCCAGCTGTATAAATCTTCAATTAAATGAATGTGCTGTTCCAACAAATGCTGAGTTACCTAAACAGTAACATCTGCAAGTGGCTTAATAACAGTCATTGCGCTCATTAGAGTGACACATCGGCACATACAGAGATGAAGAGAGATAGGCATATAGGTGAAGTGAGACATAGAGAAAAGTCAGAGAGAGATTAAAGATCTCTATCTTTCAAATTGACACAGATTTCTATCAGACACTGCACACACAGGATATTTCATTAGGTACCTTCAGTCTACTTTCTATAGTGGGGCACTAAAGGCAGGACAACAAAGCAGGGGAGAGGCAGTGAAAGGAGGCAGGCTGAAGTAAGAGAAGTCAGAAGAAAAGGAAGGGTGGAAGAATGAGAAGTAAATTGCATTGGGAAGTACATGAACTCATTTCTTTTGGCTGGAACAGAGATGCAATTAATTAAGGAACAATTGTTTCTTTGACTTTGGAATGGGGTATCATTTCTAACCTGAGAATTAGTTCAATTCTTTGAGCAAGAAAACAGAACAAATTGCTGAACCTGTCCTACTGATCTGTGTTAATGACTCAGATGAAGAGAGCTTGCGAAAACAAAGGTCACTCACTTAATCTGTCTCTATCTCTTTGCAGCCTTTGTGTCATATTGACAGTTAATAAGGTGGGAGATGGGTTATAACATGAGCAAGTGTGAAGCGCTTCACCTCGATAATAACAAAAGAAAAATGGAATATTTTTCAAGAGGCCTGAAATTTCCAAAGTATTTGGGTGTATTCATAGAAGGAGCAGGGTACAGCAAGCAATTAGAAAGTTGAATAGCTATTGCCCTTCACTGCAATGAGATTGGAGTACAAGAATAAACAGGTCTTGCTACATTGCGAAAGGATTTTGAATACTATATGTAGTTTTTGGTCTCCATGATCTAAGGAAGAATATATATTTTTAAAAATCAACCTTTTCAGACATGTTATGATACACCTCCAGAACAGGTTGGGACTCAAACCTGAGCCTTCTGCTTCAACGATACAGACACTACCACTATGCCACAAGACCCTTAGTAAGGGAAAACACTTGTGACCCAGAGGCAACTTAACAAACTTTGAGCAGATCAGTCGCTGGGGGTGACAGGTTCATCCTGTGATGTCCTGATTTGAGCCTGTATTCCCTGGAGCTAAGAAGAATGAGAAGTGATCTCATTGACACAGAGAAGGTTCTGAAGGGACTTGACTGGCTCAAAACTGAGAGATTGTTTCCCCCTGTCTGGGATTATTGTACGCTCAAAGTTGAAAGCTTGGACTGAGCCCACCACATACTTTCTAGTTAGAGTTTTCTTTCAAACCAACACACACAATTAAAATAAACTAATTTCTTCATAATCTACCTGTTTAGATACGTTATCATACATGTCTGGGCAGCTGGGACTTGAACCCAGACCTTCTGACTCAGGGATAGAGACACTACCACTGTGCCACAAGAGCCTAATCTTCTTTAGATATATTTGAATACAAATAACTGATCAGTTCACTACACTTGTTTGCCTTCTTACTCTTTAGCTCTTTATGCTTTAAGCTTTCTTGTCACATGTACTCAAATTCGGGAGCACAATCAAAACTCCTAGGAATGTGGATGTTACTGTCTGGGCAGGCATTTATTTTTCACCCCTAATTGCCCAGAGGGAAGTTAAGAGTCAGGAGGGGAATCATTGCTCTGGGTCTGGAGTCCTGGCCAAACCAGGAAAGGATGGCAAATTTCCTTCCATAAAGGACATTGGTGAACCATGTAGGTTTTTATGATCGTCATTATACCTACTTTTATTCCAGATTTTTTATTATGTTTAAATTGAGCTATCTGCCACGGTAGGATTCAAGCCCATATCCCCAGAGCATTGCCTGCAGTTCTGGGTTTCCTTATCCAGTGGCATTACCACCAGGCCACTGCCTCCCCAGCATCTTATTAACATGAAAATACTAATGGGGAGTCAAAAATACAGAAGCACAGTGTTCAGCACAGGGGCCAACCATTTAGGAGGAGAAATGCCTAGCCTCCAAAGGTTGTGAATCCTTGGAATTCTCTACCACAGAATATTGTGACTGTTGTGGAGAGATCACTGAACAGATATAGGGAGTGAGCCGGAAGGTAGAGTTGAGGTACAAGATTAGCTGTGATCATGTAAAATGGTGGAGAAGGCTTGAAATACCAAATCATCTAGCCTTGCTCCTAGTCCTTATGATATTATCATTTTACTTGTCATGTTTAGCTTTGTATGTTTGTGCACAACTGAATCTATGTATGTATATTTCTGGGTGTCTATGCTTTTGTGTTTTAATTTCATACTAATGTAGCCAATGTTTTCAAGTCTTTACCAACTGGGAAAATCTACATGTATCACTTTAGAGGATAACGTGACATTTGCCCAATGTGGCTGAGATCAAGATCCATAAAATTACTTTCCACCAAGCTTTTACATTTCACAGCTTTCCATCCATCTGTTAGTTTATACTGTGCCACATTTTTACAATTGTGTTATATTGTGACAAGGTACAACATAATGTAACTAGCATTCCTGTCACTATTTTGTAACTGAGTCATTCACGGAGTTCAATGATTGTCTGTATTCCAGGTGGGTGGTCACACCATGCTTCCAATTCGCTGGATGCCTCCTGAGAGTATAATGTATCGCAAGTTCACTACTGAGAGTGACGTCTGGAGCTTCGGAGTGATCCTGTGGGAGATCTTCACCTACGGCAAACAGCCCTGGTTCCAGCTCTCAAATAACGAGGTAAGAGGCTCAAAGCATCACTCCCGGATATCTACTGTGGTATTGGGAGGAATTGGGGGAGAGAAAGACCAGCATTGCTACAAAGAACATGGGGCTTAGAGACACAGAGCCACTGGGAGCAGAAGATTGTCAAACTCACTCCGCATTCTCTCAGGCTGTTAATTCTGCATTGGTCAGTTAGCTTTACTGAAGTGATGCATTAGTTTGAGTGGCCAAGTACAGATTACATTGAATAACCAATATTCTCCTTTTCAATGATCAACACAAGACTCTGCCTTTTTATGATGTTATGACAATTCATGGAAGACATGCACCATTCCACTTCAGTGAAGTCATTTTCCAGTAGAACTGCTACTGTACAACCTTCGTATATTTCTTTGGACTAAAATGAATCTGTAATTCATCCTTTTTATAATCCTTTGTTGAATCTCTCTCCTTTGAGTGTAACTTGCTATCATCCAATCAATCCATGCTGAACATCAATAATCACAGCCGTCCCCTGAGATTCACCACCGTTAGGCCGCATTATTTCCTACTGTATTCCCAATTAAATATCCATCCTTATTTTTGCTAACACTTCGCACCTTGGTATAATATATCTTATTTTTATTCTTTCACTTGATCATTTTTTTTTATTCTTTCATCATTGGCTCAGCCAGTATTTATTGCCGATCCCTAACTGCCGTTGACAAGGTATGGGTGACCAGCATTCTTGAACTGCTGAAGCCCATATGGTCTGGGTACCACCCACAGTGCTGTTAGGGAAGGATTTCTTGAATTTTGACTCTGCACCAGTAAGGGAAAAGTGATATATTTCCATGTTGGGATGGTATTTGACTTTGAGACAAACTTGCAGGTGATGGTGTCTCTGGTGCCTCTGCTGCCCTTGTCCTTCTAGATAGTAGAGATTGAGAGTTTGGAAGTAGTCCTGCGAGTAACCTTGTCTTGGAAAACTGGGGACAGTTCTGCACTGAAGGGTACAAATATCATTGTTGATTGTCAGAAAAATCCGTCTGGTTCACTAATGTCGTTTAGGGAAGGAAATCTGCCATTCTCACCTAGTCTGGCCTACATGTGACTCCAGACTCACAGCGATGTGGTTGACTCTTAACTGCCCTCTGGGCAATTAGGGATGGGTGATAAATGCTGCCTAGCCAGCGATGCCCTCAGCCCATGAATGAATAAAAAAAATCATGCAAAGTACCTTGTGCCATTTAATTTCCAAGTATGCTATTGTGTCCATCAAAATTTTCCCTCACTCCTGTCTTTGCTCCCTAAAGTCCAAGCAAGGTACTTTTGAGCCTAGCTGGTGAACCAATGTTGTGGTTATCCATTACCAAATCTGCCTGACCTAGACCTTATGGATTACTGGGCATCAATTTCTATCTGTCAGAACCAACTACTTAGAGTCATAAAGTCATAGAGCTGTACAGCATGGAAACAGACCCTTCAGTCAAAGTCATCCATGCTGACCAGATATCCTAAATAAATCTAGTCCCATTTGCTAACATTTGACTCATATCCCTCTCAAACCCTTCCTATTCATGTACCCATCTAGATACCTTTTAAATGTTGTAATTGTACCAGCCTCCACCACTTTCTCTGGCAGATCATTCCATACACACGCCACCCTCTGCATGAAAAAGTTGCCCCTTAGGTCCCTTTTAAATCTTTCCCCTCTCACCTTAAACCTATGCCCTCTAGCTTTGGACTCTGCAACCCTAGGGAAAAGACCTTGGCTATTTACCCCATCTATGCCCCTCATTACTTCTTAAATTATTCTTAAAAACAAAAATGCCCTTTTCTCTTTATTAATAAAAACCCCCCTCAGTGGGGGAAGTGACTCAATCATGATGATGAGACCATCCATTCACCCATTTTAAACGTGAGAAGAGAAAGATTTAAAAAAAGGCATGAGGGACTGTTTTTCACACAGAGAGTGGTTCGCTGTGGAATAAACTTCCAGAGAAAATGATAGATATGGGTACAGTTACAATGTTTAAATGACATTGAGATAAATACAGAATAAAAAGTGTCTGAATTGATATGGGCCAAGCACAGGCAGGTGGGACTAGTTTAGTTTGGGATTATGGTCAGCATGGACTATTTGGAATGAAGGGTCTGTTTCCGTGCTGTGTGACTTTATTCAGATGCCTCAAACTTCCTGTCCTAGCAAGTCTTATGCTTGTCACCAATTCTTTCATCCCTTTTAGACAATGTATCACATTGAACCAGACACTGTGTAATTTCAGCATCTTCTGGAACCTCAAACTGAGGTTCTTGCTGTCCCCAAGGGGACAATTTTCATCCCTGTAATGTTGCTGATTCATATTCCTACTTTAACTCACCTTAATGTGTGTCTCTGTTACTTCCAGACTCAATTATCCCACTGTCCTCCTGCCCAACCTCCCATGTTTTCCCCTCATTAACCTCTGCTACTGGCTTTCCCTCTTGCATAAAATCCCACTTATCCATTACACTTGACTTTGCTGAAGCTCCTAAAATTGTCTGTCTTAAAAACAAGCTAACAAGAGTCCATTCCTACATTGCAGACACTCTATAAATGCAGGTTGTTGTTGTCGTTATCCCGCTTGAACCTGACTTTGGTGGCACAGACTCTGATCGTCTCCTAACAATCTCTGTGCCACATCCTCCTGGGGCACAGGTGCCCTCCTGGGATTCACTGTCTTCCCAGCTAGTTGTACTCAGGAGCAAGTGATCGCAACTGAATGCCGCACTAGTTGCAATGTAAATAATTAAACTAATTAGCTCCATATATAATATGAGAGGAAGGGATTAACCACTTTGTTCGTAAAGCTGGGAAGATTTCATTTACTTTATTGTCGCTTAATTTCTTCTGTTTTAATGTTCACTCAGTTCCCGATACATCCACACACACATCCTGCCTGGTAATTAAATGCACTCTGCAGGCTGTGGAGCGAGTGGTGTATTTGAGTCTATGATGAGCCAGATGAGTTTTTCTATTTGTTTGCATAATACTGTTTAGCAAAACAGTGTTCTCACGTTGTGGAGAGATGTAACTGCCCTCTGCCATGGAGCTGTTTCAATGGGAGATTTTATCTGTGTCATTCTCTCATAATTACCAAGCCATGATGGGAACTCAGCTTAGTCAATTAGACACACAGTGACTTGCATTGTCACATCCAGGCAGGAAATTCAAGTAAAAATTCACTTCCTGAAATATACAGATTAGGTAGCTGTGAAGAAAAAGATGATTCATTCTCTGAATGATTTAAACCCCTTGACTCTCATTATTCCCTCACAAGCCGGTATTAGCTGGTCTCTCGTTGGTGATATTAACACCTGAAATACTGGCCATTTCCCCACTCAGTGATATTAACCCCTCAAACACCCATCATTTCCCCACTCAGTGATATTAACCCCTCAAACACCCTTCATTACCCCACTCAGTGATATTAACCCCTCAAACACTCATCATTAC